TATGCAAATGTGAAAAAAGGAAAAATAAAATAATGTGTGGGAAGCAAAACGGGCCTTATTTGAAAGATATTTTTATGGGAGAAAAGGTTTTACCCTTGGTACACAATGGACTACTTTTAAAAAATGAGAATAAAGAAATAGTGGCAATTCCGGAACTCACGGCGGCCATTCTCCAGATTAGATTAGCGGGTGTTAGTTTCAAAGCCCAGATCGAATTAAATACTTGTAAAATAACCCCATATGAGATTGTTGGTTGTTATGGATGTGAAAAAGGGGCCACCTTTAAGTTACTATGTCTTACAGATTTCGGGCGGACTTTAGCCACTTTAATATGCCCTTCTTTTACCAGTGCCGTCACGTGCGAGCCAACAGCCAACAACAAAACACTCTCTCTACATTTTGACCATGCTGATGTTGATGAGAACTGTGAGGCCTTTTGCCCAGCTTCGACTACACGATTTAAAATTTTTGGAAAACTTTCCTCCCCAGAACTGGTTATTTTTGATTCTAGAAATTGGGATTGGACCGCAAGAAAAGATATTACTCCGAAAATAGATTGGCTGTCAATTATTAAAAATTTTGTTTTTAATGCACATTTCCCCACACTAATTCTCTCTCTTTCTATTGGCGGTATCCTAATCTACTTTTTGGCACCTTTTCTTCTAACACTTCTTTTTGCCATCTTCTCTTTCCTAATTAAACTTCTTTGTCTCCGGAGTGTCGGCAACAGCCGAAAATGATATTTAATTTTAAATTTCAAAATAAATTTCTTCATTTTTAACCTTAATCATTGAAATATATTTTTTATATTTTTTGAAATTCTTCATTTTTTAAATGTTATTACCCTTTTTTTAATGTCTCATCCTCATTCTTTCCTAAATTAACCTTTTTCTTCTGATGCAATTCTCTCCTATTTAAACTAACAATTAACAGCTAACAAACAATCATTAATCATTTTGCTATCCCTTTAATTTAATCCTAAAAATGTTCCCCTCCTTATTTTAAATATAAATTAAATTATTTTGATTGATAAATTTCTTTTAAATTATTTTCTGGTAAATTAATTTGGGGGTCTAAATAAAGACAGGATCAATATAAATTTTAATATTTTATTTTAAAATGTGTAAGCACTCTACAATTTTAGAGTGTATTTGATATTAAAAATATTTTTACTGATAAAAAGGGAATATTTTTCCACAACAATTTAAATTGCTTAAGAATTATTAGTTTTTTACTAATAAAGTAAAAATTATAATTTATTCATAGATTTTTTAATTAATAAATATTTTAGATGTCAAAAAATTACAATGTCAAAAAAATACAAAAATATTTAATTATTAAAATAGATATCATAAATTGAAGTCTTGCTGCGAAGCGAAGTCGAAATTAAAACTTATATTTATTTTCTATAACTTTATCTTTTTAATAAAAATAGACTATGGCCGGGCCATTATCCCAAAATTTAAAATTAATTAAAAAAATTTTTGACGCATTTATGTAACCAACCAACGACGCATTAATATAAACAACGTAAAATGAGTTAAAAAATAAATAAACAAATTGTTAGATAGATATAATTTAAAATTGGCAATTATAGTTAAATTTATATAGAATTTTCATCCTTAAAATTTTTTAAATATATATTTCTCTTTCTACAGCGATGATAATAGTTATTTTATAATATGAAGTATAAGTACATAAAACATTTTCTTTATTAATTTTTTAAATTAAATTTAATAATTTAAAAATAATGTAGTAAAAGCTTTAAAAATTTTGAATTGATGATTTTAAAATAAAAAAACAATTATTATTTTTATTATTAAAAATAAGTTAAAAAATAAACAGTTGTAGTTAAAATATAAGCAGTTATAATCATAAAATATGTATTATTTATGAAAATACAATAATAAGAATAAATCATAAGTAAAAGTGATTATCTTGATACTAATAAAAGGCATTTGCTTAAGAAGAAATTTCTGAGCTGAAAAGATTTCAAGAAACATTAAAAAATATATAAAAGAAAAAAGATTTTATATTCAAGGAGACTGAATTCATTAAACTACTTGCAAAAAACAAGCTGCCAAGAAAACCATTTCTTCTCAATATACTGTACAAGTTTAATTTAAAAAAAGTCGAAACTCAGATACAACAATAAATTTTTCCAATAAAAAATTTAATAGATTTTAATTTATTTATAATTTTAAAAAATTCCAAAAATCTCATTAATAGTAATTTTTAATAATTTAGATATTTTATAAATATTAGATTAATAACTAAAGATTAAAAATATATTAATTATTATTTATTTTGCTTATTAAAATTACAACAACACGCGTCTTACTGATTATAAAATATTTATTGAAAGTAATCTTTTACAAAATTTTATTAATAGAATAATCAGGACGATTTTATATTAAACGAGATTGAATTGGACAACAAATTGGACAACAACATATAATAATTGTTTTAATTATATATTCTAGAAATAACAAAAAATACTGCATAAAAGAAATAATCCATGTCTTAATATTAAGAAAAAGCCAACACAAAAAATCACAAAAGAGGACTTCGCACAGTGATTGCCATCGTTTTAGTCGTAACCGTTGTAATAGGATCTGAAGATGTGAGACTGCTTATTTTGCTTATTATGAAAATTTAAAAAATGCCGAAAGTGAGTAAATAATAGAATAATAAAAAATTATATATAAATATAATTAGGATTTATTTATAAATATCAAGAATACAGTCGAATGAAAAATTGATATAATTAATATACTATAGTATAATGAAAGTGTATAATATAAATTTAGATACCAAATATATTTTTGAAATTGAAAAATTAGAGGCAGAAAAACAAGAATGAATTATCAGAAAAATGTCATGAAAATAAAATTCAACGCGATTATTTTTAAAAGACTTGCAAAGAAATTGCCAAGAAAACATTTATTCTGTATAAATTGTCCAAGCTTAAGTAAAAAAAGTCGTAAAAATTTCTATTAAAATAATTATTATAATTTAATAAAATTTATTCTATTAGTTTGTAGTAGTATGAAAATCACAATTAAATATATAAAATTAAGATATTAATTTAAATATGTAAATATAAGTGATATTTTTATAATCTGACAATAAATTATTTTATGAAAATTAATCAAAGTTTACTTAAAATGTATAATATACGCCAATGTTTTAACTGGCTATATAAATTTTTGCACTTTTTTAAAGAAAAATTTAAACCTTAACGAATGTTTATAAAATTATATATATGTTAACTTGTTGATTGGCTAATTGCATTGTTTCGATTAAAAAGTGGAAAGACAAAAAAAATGGATTTTTTACGCCTACGGTTTAAAAAATGGAATGGATAGAAACATTTATTAATATAACCAACGTAAAATGATTTAAAAAAATAAAGATAGATATAATTTAAAATTGACAATTATAGTTAAATTTATTTAGAATTTTCATACTTAAAATTTGTTTACTAATATTTATTATTATTTGCTTAAAGAATTAAAAAATGATTTTGATGATTACAAATGCTTTTAATATTCTAAGATAAATTAAAACGTAAACTACCTATATAAATATAAAAATATATCAGTTTTATAAATTCTGTCTGAATTGTCACATTTAATATAATTAAATTTATTTTTAATAAAAATCTTGTTATAAAATAAATTTTAGAAGTTATTTTAAGAAATAATATATTTTTACACAATTTCTTAAGATTTATTTTGAAGAACTACCATTTTTTGCCCAGCAAATATTTATACTTATACATTTGTCGGAAAAATTATTGATGATGAACAAATAATTAGTTCAAATAATTATATAGAAAATTATTATTATCGCAAAATCAACAATAAGATAAAATTTAATGCAATTATAAAAATTTGATATAAGTATAATAGTTTTGGAATAATTAAAATTATAAATGACAATTTTCAGAAAACTTATATTCTCCTGGTAAGATTGTGGATAAAATGTACAGGAAATTCTTCTAAATTACCAAAAAGGATCAAGTTAATTATAAAAAATTAATATTATATTCTTCTTTCTATTTTTAAAATATTTAACTAATTAAAAACAGATGGTATAGACTTTAAAAAATCTGTAAATTTTTTTATTTTATAATTGTTAAAATTTCTTTTAATAAAATCTATAATTGATAACATAAGCTATTATAGTTATATAATCTTGTGATAAAAAAATTTCAAATCGTTATAAAAATCTCAAATGGTTATATTAAATTGTATCTAAACACAATAACGAAATTGGAATTATCACTTAAGAATTTTCATTTTCAGAAACAAGTTTATCAAATATTATTAAATAGAAAATAATCTAGTTAAAAATTGAAAATTGAATAAAGTAATCGATCGAAGATAAATTTGATTATCATGAATGAAGAAAAGTATACATTTTGGTAATGTATATAAACAAAATCTGTAAATATAAAAAAACTTACTTTCATTTTTATCATATTATTAATAAACACTTATCTGAATTAACAAATTAAATATAAAATTAAATAATATAACAATCGAAAAGATTACACAAATAGTTTATAATATATAAAAAATTGATTATCAAAAATGATATTATGAAAATAACACCTCTCTGATAAACAAATAAAAATGTATTAATTGAATGTTAATATAATGGAGGAATATTTAAGTTCACAGGTTTGTAAATTGTAAATGTGACCTGTTTGCCTGGTTACTCTAATTATTTAATTAAAATAATAAAATTTAACGAATATTTGCTTAATTTTTTTTTGTTACTTCCGGCAATATGAATTAACCGTTCTAGTAACCGATGAGGGCAATATTCCTATACAAAGTTGGGGATCAATTAAAATTAAAGTTTATTACTGGCCTGAACAAAAGAAAGAGCGCTGTAAAAACTGCGAAATTGAATGCGCTAAACAAGGAATAAAAATAAAATATAAAGAAAAAATAGGTGGGTTAGAAATCTTTATTAGTGGAAAGCCAGAAATGTACATTCCTCATCCAGAAAATGGCCAAATAATTTATCTCCCAACTGAACAAATTATTTCAGAATATGAAGTTTCAGTAAAATTTTGGAAAAACGGGGAACAAGTTTCTGAAATGGGAATAAAATGTTCGGCTCAAAAACACTGCGAATTAATTGAGTGTACAGTTTGTATACAAATGCTCACTAACCCTCAATGCACGCCAAAGGAATGGATAATCATATTAGTCTTAGGCCTTTACTTCATCTTGGGATTTTTGATAATGATTTGTAGAATTTTAAAATTTGGCCTGGGAGGGATGCTTTGCATTATGCGACACAAATGGAGGCTTTGTAAAATTATCGGGGTACTTTATGGATATGTCACCCCCCCTCCTATTTTGAGTCTCAGAGTTTTCCTTAAACGTAGAAAATGGTCAGAGATTATTTTTTTCTCCATGTCAATCATTTTTTTCTTCTTCAAGTATTTTGCCTGTTTATTTTGCCTTTTCACATATTTTGTACTTACATTTCACTCATTTCGATTCTACATTTACCACATTTCACTTATTTTGCTTGAAGAAAGAAAAATGATTGACATGGAGAAAAAAATAATCTCTGACCATTTTCTACGTTTAAGGAAAACTCTGAGACTCAAAATAGGAGGGGGGGTGACATATCCATAAAGTACCATTATCGGAAAACTTTTTAGGCGCAGAGCCAGAAAAGAAAAAGCAGAATTTACAGAATTTAAGCCCTTTACTAAAACTTACAAAACCAACCTTCCAAGAGAAGTAATATTGATAACTTTACTCTTACTTGCTTTGCCAATTCAAAGCTTAGAGATAATCAACGCCAAGGATGAACATTGTATTGTAAACAAAGAAGGGCAACGCACATGTTCGTATGAAAACGTGTTGGAGCTCAACTTTGGTTTACAATCTCAAAATGGTCAAGAAGCGCAAATTATTCTACAGGATTCCGGAAATAGACCCACGGGGAAAATTACTTTAAAAATAAATGCCATACAAGCAGTATGTTTCCGATCAGCTAAATTCTTTACAAGAGATTTCGAATTAGGAGCAAATTCAGTTTATTTGTGTAGTGGAGAAGGTTCTTGTACCTCTCAGCAAAAATGTGAAACTCTTGGGGTAAATGAGAGCATAAGTGAAATTCCTAAATCAAACCATTTACCCGGCACTTCTGGATGTCTCGATCCTTGTAAAGGACAACTTTTTTGCCAAAATTGCTACTATTCTAGTTACACATGCCTATTTTTCAGATGTTTCGCAGAACCCAAATCAAAAGAAATATACGAAATTTTTGAGTGTCCCGAATTTGGCTTAGAGCTTAAATTAAATATAACTATTGAAAATGCCGAACAAAAGTTTGAAAAAGAAATGAGATTACGCCCGGGGTTCACAGAAAATTTTAAGGAGATTAAACTTACCGCCACTTCAATGACTGTTCCTCCTATACCAGCATTGGGGCGTTCAATACTAACAGATGGTAATCGATTTGCCATAATCACAAAAGAACAAGAAAATTCCGCAAAAAGAGTCTTTTGCCCTAATATTAATGAAGCAGCCAAATTTAGCTCAAAATGTATAATGAAAAAGGAAATATGCAAATGTGAAAAAAGGAAAAATAAAATAATGTGTGGGAAGCAAAACGGGCCTTATTTGAAAGATATTTTTATGGGAGAAAAGGTTTTACCCTTGGTACACAATGGACTACTTTTAAAAAATGAGAATAAAGAAATAGTGGCAATTCCGGAACTCACGGCGGCCATTCTCCAGATTAGATTAGCGGGTGTTAGTTTCAAAGCCCAGATCGAATTAAATACTTGTAAAATAACCCCATATGAGATTGTTGGTTGTTATGGATGTGAAAAAGGGGCCACCTTTAAGTTACTATGTCTTACAGATTTCGGGCGGACTTTAGCCACTTTAATATGCCCTTCTTTTACCAGTGCCGTCACGTGCGAGCCAACAGCCAACAACAAAACACTCTCTCTACATTTTGACCATGCTGATGTTGATGAGAACTGTGAGGCCTTTTGCCCAGCTTCGACTACACGATTTAAAATTTTTGGAAAACTTTCCTCCCCAGAACTGGTTATTTTTGATTCTAGAAATTGGGATTGGACCGCAAGAAAAGATATTACTCCGAAAATAGATTGGCTGTCAATTATTAAAAATTTTGTTTTTAATGCACATTTCCCCACACTAATTCTCTCTCTTTCTATTGGCGGTATCCTAATCTACTTTTTGGCACCTTTTCTTCTAACACTTCTTTTTGCCATCTTCTCTTTCCTAATTAAACTTCTTTGTCTCCGGAGTGTCGGCAACAGCCGAAAATGATATTTAATTTTAAATTTCAAAATAAATTTCTTCATTTTTAACCTTAATCATTGAAATATATTTTTTATATTTTTTGAAATTCTTCATTTTTTAAATGTTATTACCCTTTTTTTAATGTCTCATCCTCATTCTTTCCTAAATTAACCTTTTTCTTCTGATGCAATTCTCTCCTATTTAAACTAACAATTAACAGCTAACAAACAATCATTAATCATTTTGCTATCCCTTTAATTTAATCCTAAAAATGTTCCCCTCCTTATTTTAAATATAAATTAAATTATTTTGATTGATAAATTTCTTTTAAATTATTTTCTGGTAAATTAATTTGGGGGTCTAAATAAAGACAGGATCAATATAAATTTTAATATTTTATTTTAAAATGTGTAAGCACTCTACAATTTTAGAGTGTATTTGATATTAAAAATATTTTTACTGATAAAAAGGGAATATTTTTCCACAACAATTTAAATTGCTTAAGAATTATTAGTTTTTTACTAATAAAGTAAAAATTATAATTTATTCATAGATTTTTTAATTAATAAATATTTTAGATGTCAAAAAATTACAATGTCAAAAAAATACAAAAATATTTAATTATTAAAATAGATATCATAAATTGAAGTCTTGCTGCGAAGCGAAGTCGAAATTAAAACTTATATTTATTTTCTATAACTTTATCTTTTTAATAAAAATAGACTATGGCCGGGCCATTATCCCAAAATTTAAAATTAATTAAAAAAATTTTTGACGCATTTATGTAACCAACCAACGACGCATTAATATAAACAACGTAAAATGAGTTAAAAAATAAATAAACAAATTGTTAGATAGATATAATTTAAAATTGGCAATTATAGTTAAATTTATATAGAATTTTCATCCTTAAAATTTTTTAAATATATATTTCTCTTTCTACAGCGATGATAATAGTTATTTTATAATATGAAGTATAAGTACATAAAACATTTTCTTTATTAATTTTTTAAATTAAATTTAATAATTTAAAAATAATGTAGTAAAAGCTTTAAAAATTTTGAATTGATGATTTTAAAATAAAAAAACAATTATTATTTTTATTATTAAAAATAAGTTAAAAAATAAACAGTTGTAGTTAAAATATAAGCAGTTATAATCATAAAATATGTATTATTTATGAAAATACAATAATAAGAATAAATCATAAGTAAAAGTGATTATCTTGATACTAATAAAAGGCATTTGCTTAAGAAGAAATTTCTGAGCTGAAAAGATTTCAAGAAACATTAAAAAATATATAAAAGAAAAAAGATTTTATATTCAAGGAGACTGAATTCATTAAACTACTTGCAAAAAACAAGCTGCCAAGAAAACCATTTCTTCTCAATATACTGTACAAGTTTAATTTAAAAAAAGTCGAAACTCAGATACAACAATAAATTTTTCCAATAAAAAATTTAATAGATTTTAATTTATTTATAATTTTAAAAAATTCCAAAAATCTCATTAATAGTAATTTTTAATAATTTAGATATTTTATAAATATTAGATTAATAACTAAAGATTAAAAATATATTAATTATTATTTATTTTGCTTATTAAAATTACAACAACACGCGTCTTACTGATTATAAAATATTTATTGAAAGTAATCTTTTACAAAATTTTATTAATAGAATAATCAGGACGATTTTATATTAAACGAGATTGAATTGGACAACAAATTGGACAACAACATATAATAATTGTTTTAATTATATATTCTAGAAATAACAAAAAATACTGCATAAAAGAAATAATCCATGTCTTAATATTAAGAAAAAGCCAACACAAAAAAGCACAAAAGAGGACTTCGCACAGTGATTGCCATCGTTTTAGTCGTAACCGTTGTAATAGGATCTGAAGATGTGAGACTGCTTATTTTGCTTATTATGAAAATTTAAAAAATGCCGAAAGTGAGTAAATAATAGAATAATAAAAAATTATATATAAATATAATTAGGATTTATTTATAAATATCAAGAATACAGTCGAATGAAAAATTGATATAATTAATATACTATAGTATAATGAAAGTGTATAATATAAATTTAGATACCAAATATATTTTTGAAATTGAAAAATTAGAGGCAGAAAAACAAGAATGAATTATCAGAAAAATGTCATGAAAATAAAATTCAACGCGATTATTTTTAAAAGACTTGCAAAGAAATTGCCAAGAAAACATTTATTCTGTATAAATTGTCCAAGCTTAAGTAAAAAAAGTCGTAAAAATTTCTATTAAAATAATTATTATAATTTAATAAAATTTATTCTATTAGTTTGTAGTAGTATGAAAATCACAATTAAATATATAAAATTAAGATATTAATTTAAATATGTAAATATAAGTGATATTTTTATAATCTGACAATAAATTATTTTATGAAAATTAATCAAAGTTTACTTAAAATGTATAATATACGCCAATGTTTTAACTGGCTATATAAATTTTTGCACTTTTTTAAAGAAAAATTTAAACCTTAACGAATGTTTATAAAATTATATATATGTTAACTTGTTGATTGGCTAATTGCATTGTTTCGATTAAAAAGTGGAAAGACAAAAAAAATGGATTTTTTACGCCTACGGTTTAAAAAATGGAATGGATAGAAACATTTATTAATATAACCAACGTAAAATGATTTAAAAAAATAAAGATAGATATAATTTAAAATTGACAATTATAGTTAAATTTATTTAGAATTTTCATACTTAAAATTTGTTTACTAATATTTATTATTATTTGCTTAAAGAATTAAAAAATGATTTTGATGATTACAAATGCTTTTAATATTCTAAGATAAATTAAAACGTAAACTACCTATATAAATATAAAAATATATCAGTTTTATAAATTCTGTCTGAATTGTCACATTTAATATAATTAAATTTATTTTTAATAAAAATCTTGTTATAAAATAAATTTTAGAAGTTATTTTAAGAAATAATATATTTTTACACAATTTCTTAAGATTTATTTTGAAGAACTACCATTTTTTGCCCAGCAAATATTTATACTTATACATTTGTCGGAAAAATTATTGATGATGAACAAATAATTAGTTCAAATAATTATATAGAAAATTATTATTATCGCAAAATCAACAATAAGATAAAATTTAATGCAATTATAAAAATTTGATATAAGTATAATAGTTTTGGAATAATTAAAATTATAAATGACAATTTTCAGAAAACTTATATTCTCCTGGTAAGATTGTGGATAAAATGTACAGGAAATTCTTCTAAATTACCAAAAAGGATCAAGTTAATTATAAAAAATTAATATTATATTCTTCTTTCTATTTTTAAAATATTTAACTAATTAAAAACAGATGGTATAGACTTTAAAAAATCTGTAAATTTTTTTATTTTATAATTGTTAAAATTTCTTTTAATAAAATCTATAATTGATAACATAAGCTATTATAGTTATATAATCTTGTGATAAAAAAATTTCAAATCGTTATAAAAATCTCAAATGGTTATATTAAATTGTATCTAAACACAATAACGAAATTGGAATTATCACTTAAGAATTTTCATTTTCAGAAACAAGTTTATCAAATATTATTAAATAGAAAATAATCTAGTTAAAAATTGAAAATTGAATAAAGTAATCGATCGAAGATAAATTTGATTATCATGAATGAAGAAAAGTATACATTTTGGTAATGTATATAAACAAAATCTGTAAATATAAAAAAACTTACTTTCATTTTTATCATATTATTAATAAACACTTATCTGAATTAACAAATTAAATATAAAATTAAATAATATAACAATCGAAAAGATTACACAAATAGTTTATAATATATAAAAAATTGATTATCAAAAATGATATTATGAAAATAACACCTCTCTGATAAACAAATAAAAATGTATTAATTGAATGTTAATATAATGGA